GGAAAGCAAGCAGAACCCCTCAACTGGTATCACCACTGGGATAACTGGCAGTTTCTTAAAAATTAAACATATATATTGTCTAGCCTATAACTCCAGTAATTCCACTCCATGATAGTAATCCAAATGAAATTATAAATTATGCCCAGGATTTGCATAGCAACCTTATCTGTAACAGACCAGATACCCATCAACAGAATGGATAAACTATACCCTGTGATTATACACTGGAGTTCTATTCTGCAGAAAAAAGGAGCTACTGATACAACTACATGCATTAACATCAAAGACATGCTCGAAGACAAAATGCAAAAAATGCACTAATGTAGGACTTAATTTATATTAAGTATTAAAACATGTGAAGATGATTTGCAATGATAGAAACCAGGTCAATGTTTCTTCCCTGGGGTTAGAATTTGAGCTATTAAATGGTAAGAGGCACCCACTTTCAGGGCAGAAATGTTTTCTTGATGTGTGGACTGAACAATAATTTTAAGATCAAATAAGCTGAACAGATCGGTGCATTTCACTGTCAACAAATATTACACTTATGAAAAGTTACATAATGCTCATTATTCACCAGGGATATACAAATTTAAGCGAGATGCAATGCATCCAATGAGAATAAATTTAAAAACATCAAATACTTATGTGTGTGTGGAGTAACCAGGTCTCACACTGTTAGTGTTCGTATTAAAACTTTCGAGAAAACATCTGGCTATGACCTAAATTATCTACAATCCAGCAATTCCTGACTTGAGTGTTTTCACCTTTATGTACATACAGACTTGCATAACACTCACAGCAACCTTGTAATAGCCAAGAGCTAGAGAAAAGCCTAGGTTTCCATCAATAAACTGTACTATGCTTATCCTTGCCAACAAAAAGAACCTACTGATACATGACTCAATCACAAAAGCATTTTGCTGAATGCAGCCTCATGTAAGGCCCCGTACTTTGGCTGCATTAGATCATCTGCAACAGGCATGGCTAGTCTGTCTTTGGAGGATGAGGGCAAGAACTGAAGGTACCTTGTTGGATACCAGTACTCTATGTATCTTGACACTATGAAACTTTTTAAGGATTTCAGATTTAAATTTTTTTAAAACTTATCTTCAAAACCTATAAATACCAAACTCTGGTATGAACACAAGTGTTTCTAGGTACTATATTGATGTATGCAGCTTAAAAACTGATGGAAAAGAATGAAGATTTTCTGTAATAATTGGTTAAGTAACAGGTTATTTACACAATAGGTTTTTTTCTGTCAGTCTAACGGTAACATTCCTCTTCCTTTCTGAGTTCTGTTCAACTGGCTATATATAACCCAAATCTACTACTGTTTCAGTTGCTATTACTGTGTATTTACCGGGACCCACAAAATGCAGGTTGTCCCACAGACAAGGCCCAAGCCACAAATCTTAAACTCATCAGCCTACACCTACAGAAAACACCTGTTAAGGAAACCTAACATATGCCACTTACCATCCTCCATCTTAGCTGTAGTAATCTCACCTTACCCTAGAAACCGGAGCTTGTGGCTAATGATGGTGTTTCTGCACTGCCTCTTTAACGCTCTGTAAAGCTCCCTCTTTGCCCATATCCCTTGGTCACAGTGCTCCATTGCTTGTGAGGCACTGCACACCCCCAATACATGGACCACTTTCCCTTAAAAAAAAAAAAAGACAGTTTTACAATTTCACAGTACTGATATCAGGTGTCAGATATATATAGAACAGTAGATAAAAGCAGGAAGTTTTCAATATTGAAGCTTTATCAAGAATCTGCGGCTGGTTTAACAGCCATGATGTAAGGACTTATTCCACAGGAGATTAACTGCCAAGTAAATTACTCAAAATTACCTTGATGCCTACCCTAAAGCTCACTCCCCTAATAAAGGAGGCCTAGTCACAGCACAAGCCACCTCAGTAACTGTTTCCCTAGCCACAGCTCAAGTACCAACATTTGCATGGGAACTGAAGTTTGTGGGAGGGGAAAATGAGTATTTATAAAGCCTAAGTTCCTTATTGCAAAAAAAAAAAAAAATAGAAGAACCCAAGGCCACAAAAAAAAAGCATTTTAAGTTTTATTAAGTTTCAAATACAAAACATTCCAAAAAGAGAAACTTGTCTGACACCTAAGTTCTATACTCACTACCAGTCCAACAAGGAAAACACTGTCATTATTTCTTTTACAACAGTATAACGCCAGAAGAATCAATAAGATTCTTTTTCCAATGGGAGCAGAATTAAGTCTACTGGGTCAGTAAACTAATTTCCATACAGCTATCTGGTCATTTAAGCATACTTAAAATTTTAATTTAGCATTCGTATTTACTAGGTTCAATCTATGTTCTATAATATCTTCATGGTATCCAAAAATCCAGGGTCAAGCGGTCCTCAGAAGGATAAACCCAAGTAAAGGACTGAGGAAGCCAGCTACGTAAGCACAGCAGCTATTTCAATTTGGCCAATATCCTCAGGGTCTGTGATTACAGACGCCTGTCAAATGAGGGTTAAATCTCTATCACTTTCCACAATTGCAAATGTTAAAACATGAGCATACTTTTCACTATGCAAAAATCCTCAGAAGTTGAGCTGGTTCTTCTAACCCAACTCAAATCTGTCTCCTTTGAGAACATCAGCTTTTTATACCACTGACACTTACGAAGTTTTATCTTTTGTTTCCAAGTGTGGGTAAAGTAGGCTTACAATAGTAACAACAACAAAAAAAGCCAACTGGCCCGACTTTATCTCATTTTTAAAGTGTCCTTTCAAGCATATTATCTGTGCTTCCAGTTACTTTTAGTTTCCAGATACTACTCTTCTGTTTTACTTTGTAACTAAATCCCACTTCTGGATGAATGCAAAAATGTTTCATTTGCTAAAAATCACTTTGCTGGATTGAGAGCTACCACTTAATGCCTTTCATTTTTTCTAATTCAATTTTATGACAGTGATCATTAGGAAGGTCTAAACTGCGGAGTTGTCAAGTGTGACTTTAGCTGAACAAAATGAAAGCCAAAACTGTAAAGTCGACAAGGAACCACAAGAACTTCTCAACTACCTCCACTTACCAATTTCCTCAATTGTTCCCCTTTCTCCACCTGGTCAATTACTTGTTTTAAGTAAGGACCCCTCCCCCTAGGTTGAGTGCTAACCAAGGAACACTGATGCCTTCCCTTCTGCAGGACTCCTTTAAAGCAACCATCTATTGTCTGCACCGAACCACTTCTGATGAGTACTGCTTATGCAACTCTTGTGCCTTTGCAACCAGCATTCTTCTGCTTCAGTAACTGGAAGAAATGAGAAGCATGTCATCAGATCACAATACATTGTTTTATACTGGAAATTATTACTCCTCTACCTAATTTTTTAAATGTATGCTTTCTTGTTGCTTCAAACAGCAACAAAACACTTGCCTAAAATTCGAACCTCTAATTCCTCCAAGCATCATTTTGGTAATATGGAGACTATATAATAATCATCATCCTTTTAATAAATGTACAGGAACAAGTCTGAACAGCATACTAGTGAGGCTTGCTCACATACCAAATCACTAACACTATAGCTCCAGTCAACAGCTGCTTATGAGGACAGTTAGTTTCACATTCAAATATAGCTAACATTCCATGACTGAGCCACTAATAAAAACATACCTGTTTAACCCCAACCGGACATTCGAATGGCTAACAGTCAATGTGCCAGATTGCTACACAGTACCATCCTAACCCCCAAATTAGTTTATCCCTTTTACAAATAACTTGCCAATGACATGCAAAGTGGCGATGCTACAGTATTTAAGCCTGTAAAGGGGCAGCTTTCAAAACTTACCTGAACATTTCATTTGGTCTTGCTGCTTTATCTAGTGTGAATATACCAGCACTCATGACCATATGCCCAGAATCCTCAACCTGTAAAAATTAAATAGGCCACTAGTTATCTCTTAATAAAGTTCTTCAAAACTTGCCTATAACTGCCCTCTTTTCCAGAAAGAAAAGGCAAGATCAGACTTGCAGCTTAACGTATTTCATGTTCTACTACTTCTCTTAAGTGGTGGAAGATTCACTGGCTTGGGATGGACTGGAATGGCTTAAATGGTTAAGTTGCATGGCTTATGGATTCTCATTCTGTTCCAATGGTGCACTGCCATGTTAAATCCATAAGTTGAACGGACAAAACTTATTGAAGGATTAACTGCAGTATAAGGATTTTAGTTGGAGGTCTTCAAGTTTACTATATTCAAGAGCATCTTTTCAACTTCATGGCTGGACCTGGGTCATGCTGCCTCAGGTTTTGCTTTTTAAAAGACCACTTGCAATAGATTTTCTCCATACAGTGTAGTTTCACAGAACTAAAAAACAAGTCAGGCATCCAACTAAATGTCAAGTTTTCAATGGCTTACAGGGGTAGAGAGTGAGACCCCAAACTTAAGCCATTTCCTATATTGACTAAAAGATTAATTTAAAAAATGTTAAAATACATGAAGCATGTCTAAAGGTCTTCATCAAAAATAAGACTTAAAAAAAGAAAAAAAGATACCCCCTCCCGAGACCCAGATTGCTATTGGTGAACAGCAGTATTAAGGCCTTTAAGTGTCACACATGCTTTAAAAAAAAAATCCAAGTGTTGAATTTGGAAGACTTCTAATATGCTATCGAACACTTTTCTTTTCCAAGTTTTTTTTAATCTAGAAGGCATTTCCACTGCCATGAAGTACAGTATGTCTCACTGTACTATGAGGAAGGTTAAGTGTTCAATCTCGACTTAGACGGAAAAACTAGTTTGCTTTGCTTACCATCTTTGCTGTTTCAGGCATTGGATGCTTTAAATCTGATGTGGAATGCTGATAGATTCACTTTTTAGAAGTCATAAGCCTTTGAGAAGTTGGAGATAACTTCATTGCTTATCTATTTTCTCCTTTGCAATCAAGCTGTTCCTTAAAAGTGAGACACTACAGAGTTGCAAAAATTTGAAACAGTAAGAGCAAGCATCGTTTGCAGCTTCATGGTTGGTTTGGCCAAATTTTATTTAGTATTCTGTAGTTGCTTAACACACACTTAAATGGTCTTATTGGGGGAGGAGGGGAGGGGGGAGGTTCTTGTAGGTTCCCAAGGAAATGTCAAAGGCAAAATATAGCCAGCACTATCCATTTGCTTTTTTGGATTTATGGGTGAATAGCACTTTCCTTACATAAGCATCTGATCTCAGATCTTTCATACTGAGAACATTGAGATTTCAGTTGTAAGATACTCTGAAATCCTAAGAGTAGCATACCCCAACCACCCTCTAATAATAGCTAGCTTGTCTGTATAGGAAGGATTCATCTCTCCATTTTAGATGGCTAGATGTTTGTGGAAGATGTTAAAATTGTTTGCCTTATTTACTGGGGAAAATCAGGAGGTGGCCTTCAGGGACACTTGGAAAATTACAACACTAGTACACAACTTATGTCTTAACACATTTAACATTTGCTTGTTGAAAAGCAATGTCATAAAAACCAAGTAAAATTAAACATGTTTTAACTTTTTTCCTCACAAGAACATAAAAATTATGGAGAGGGAACTTAACAGGAAATTTAAAAAAAGTAATACATTTTTCCTTTTAGTAGTCCTTGGGTAGTTATGACAGAATAAGTTCCACTTTTTGTTTCTTTGAACAGGGATTTTGGTCCAAAGTTGTTTGTTTTTAATATCTGCTTCTGCCTCCCCCTCTATCAGATCGGCTTCCTCCACGGCCACCACCTCTTGGTGCTCCGCGGCTTGAACTGCTGTAGGAATCACGAGGAGGAGGGTACCCCCTTTCCATAGAAGGGGGAAGCCCTCTTTCTTGTCTGCCAACCCGATCACGACCACTTGAGTAGAGATCACTTCGGCTGCTTGAGTAACTGTCTCGACTTCCACCATATCCGTCACGTGAGCTGCTGTAATCATCATAGCGACTGCTTCCACCATAAGATGGCGGGGGCCCTCGTGTAGGTGGAGCACTACGTGAGTTACCTGCAGGGTCAATGGTCAGGTAATATGGCAACACTATAAATTGTATATATACAACATTTAAATCTGAATTTACAGAATTCTTGTATTAAACTTTTACTTTCTTAACTGGGAGGTTTTAAACTCTGCCATTGCTGGCCATTAACAGGGATTTGCTCATCTGCTGAGATACGGAAATGGATGGGGTTTTAATGTTTGTTTGAAAAGACTGAAGACGGTGTGTATTTCAAGAGGATATTCCAGACAGCTTGTAATTTTATAGTAGACACTCAGCCACTTTCCAGTGATAAGTTGCAATTTTGAACTGTAGACTTTCCTTCATATTGCAATGGTAAACATTTGATCTTGTTAATAAAATTTTTAAACTGTATTTTCACTGTTGGGGGAAAACACATAAGGCTGCCAATTTAAGCAAGCAAAATCCCCTCCAAAGCAAGCAAACAGCCTCAAAAACAAAACAAAATAAAAAAAAACACTTAGAAATAACAAAAGCCCTTCAACAAAACTAGGAAAGCCCAGCTGATAGTTACCCCCTTAAAAGCAAGCAAACATCCCTTAAAAAGCAAGCATCACACAGCCTAATAAGTGGCTCATGAACCTAAATACTCAAGCTGGTGATATTCAAAGACCCTCAACCCATATCTTACCATAACTCTCATATGAATCTCTGTAGGAACCTCCACTTGGATGATCTGAATAGTCACGATCACGACCATAGCCATCTCTATCACTAATTAAAGATAAAAATTTGTAAGCCCCGGCGTCAATTTCTACAGCAAAAATTTTTTTTTGTTTGCAGCAAAGTGTGGCACCAAAGTCAGTTTTACCTATAGCCTCTTGATGGGTAGTCATCACGTGAACTGGAATGACCATAATCACGGTAAGTATAATCTCTTGGTGGTGGTGCATAATCTCTCGTATCACGAGAACTTGGGTAATCTCTGCTTGAATAGCTACAGAAACAAAAGTTAACTCAGTTCAACCTTTTGATGAGCTCTCCCTTTAACTTAAAAATGATTAAGGGAGCAAACTCTACTTTTCTGTTACCTGTCTTTAGTAGAATATCCATCATCTCTTGGGGACAAATAAACATCTCTACGAGAGGGCAAGGGTTCCCTTCGAGGTGGGCCTCCGTAACTGTCTCTTCCACGTGATACAGGAGCTGAAGACAATTTAAAAAATATACCCAAAAGAAAAGGTAAAATGAGTTTGTATTCAATGAAAAAGTAGGGATTCAATCAAATGACAATGGGGAAGAAAATTAAGCAGTTTTACTAAAATTTCTCATTCACAACTCAATTCAGGTCATTAATTTCATGTACCTAGATGATGTAGAGTCCATCAAATCAGTTTAAGCATCACTTTTTCCATTCACCTATCAAGAACTTTCTTGAATTATGGTGGTAGGATTTATTTATAAATGGAACACTTACCTCTTCCTCCCATTCCACTGCTGCTTCGAACTGGTCCTGAAGGGGCAGATCTTTTCGGAGGAGGACCCCCACTTCGTGGTGGTGGTCCTCTTTTTACTGGAAGTGGTCCCCTGGAAGAACTCATATTAAAATTCATGGAATAGCCACCATCATCTACATTAGAATAGAAAAGAAAAACATTAATAGAAAATTAAGGAAAATCTGTTCTCACTGCTTATTCAAGGCTAATTTGTTTAGTTGGGGAATCTAGCTTTAGTTTCCTCTTACACAAAGCTGAATATGGAACCGTCTATACAGACTGGGATAAAAAAACTGAAGTATAACCTTAAAGCTCCTTCAAAGACTGACTGTTTTATTTTCATAGACCCAATGCCTATACATATTAAAATTTTCCTCCAAGTGTTTTTTCCTAGAGAACGAACTACTTGGGAAAGGCATAGTATAGCAGTATTGTTTAAAAACACTAATTTAACGTAGGATGCCCTGTTTTCCTTCTGAATCATGATCACTTTGGTAAATGAGCAAGTGTTCTCAATTTCCTAAGCTGGAGCCTCTAGACTAGGGCTTCACCAAAGGACACATTGCTGTAGGTCTGCAGTTCCTCAACTACAATAGCAGCCTGAGGTAAACAACTCAAGTCATTACCCATGTGCCCTCCTCGTGAGGGAGGTCCCCTGGTTCCTCCACTTCCTCCTCTTCCGCCTCTAAGACCTCTTGGTGGGCCTCTGCTTCTTGGAGGTGGAGGTGGTCCTCGTCTACCACTTTCAAAAGATGGTTTAGTGGCCTGTTCTACCTTGATGGCTTTTCCATCTAAAGACTAAATAAACATCAAAATGGTTAATTACGTCAACATTTAGGAATACAACAGATGCACCATGCACTATGACATGCAATGTTGTAAAAAGTGCATTTGTAGGTAGAATTTTCTCTCCCATTCATGCAAGAAATAACTACAAGTAGTTACTTTTATTACATATACTTAATGCTTACTCAGGCCTTGAGAATGATAAGGATGTGAACCACAACAAAGTGGATCCCCACTGCACCGCTGGCAGGTAAAATTCAAAACAAGGCCAGATACTTCTCAGCATCAAAAATTAACCAGGAGAAAAAAATGATCAGTTTATGGATTCCAGATGAAACACCTTATTCTATCTAAAGACTCTTGGGAGTATGGTCCATTATTTTGAGTACAAAATTTTGCTCTGAAATTACAAAGGCCTACTACCATCAGAGGATCCTGGAATGGTATACCTTCAAAATACAAATTTCAAGGGCTGCCCTAGCCAGACTTGGCTAACATGTGCTATTTTATGCACTATGAAACACGGTATTATTGTGCAGACAATCTCACCTTCCCATTCATGTCTCTGGCTGCATCCTTAGCATCTGCTGGGCTTTCAAAGGTGACAAAAGCAAATCCTCTGGATTTGTTGGTTTCACGATCTTTCATCAAGAGTACTAAAAAATAGTTTTCAGGAGGAAAAGTGTTACTCTGGTTCGAATGAAGTAACATTAGTGCATCTGTGTAAAGAAAGCTCAGAACTTCTTAGAGGACAAATAACATTTATCACCTCAGATGATCAATGCAATTAAATTCATCATAGCTTATCTTTTTAATTGTTATAGCCCTGCACACACTTTTAGATAACTCACCTTCCACTATTCGTCCATATTTGCCAAATACTGCTTCAAGGGCTTTCTCATTTGTTTCTGTATTGAGGCCACCAATAAAGAGCTTTCCTGGGCGGTCGGCTTCAACCATTTTTTTTCCCTGGTGAGAGTCTGTTGAAAAATAGTATTACCTCGACGGAAAAAAGTTCAAGTTTATCAGATATTTTGGGGGGCACATTTTTCTTGTTTTACTAAACCCATTATTCCTGCGTGACTACAGACACCCAGAACGATCTTTTCTAGGCCTCAGCAGAAAACCAATTTAAGTAGTTCGGCGACAGGATATTTCACATTAAACTGGTTAAAAAGACCAAGATAACATGACTTTACCCTTAACTACACCTTGGCAGTTTTAATCATGTTGCACGTACTCAACATTTTAAATGACTTAGTTTTAATTCTACATATGATGTCCTTTAAAGATCCAATTACCTCAATTTTTTAAGACTATGGACTCAGTCAAGGTCACAGACCAGGCGCAGGTCCTTAACACCCGGCCCTCTTCCAAAACCTGTGCCCTTACTTACTTACCATGATTCCCTAGAATATCCAAGCAGAAGCCTTAAACTTTGCACCAAGTTAAACCCTCCCCCTCACCACCAGACATCCCGTTCCCCGCCGTAAATTTTACATTTTAACACAGTGCCACTAACACTTCCTATTAAGTAACAGAAGGTGAAAGCGCGCACTTAAAGCTCAACATTCCTTGATTGCAGGAGAAACCAATTATAAGCCGTCATTAAAAACCGCGTGTTAAACACAAAATGGCGACACTTGGAATCAGCCCAGCACCACTACCAACGGTCAAGGGAATAACTTTTACCACCAGCAGTAACCGGGTAAACTCAGAAAGCTTCCCCTCCAAGGCCGCCAATGAACAAGGACCCCGCGTAAAGGTGCACGTGTCCGTCGGCAGCGCCAGCGCCATGCCAATGCAGGCACCGCGGGGGCTCGGTCTCTCCTCGTCCCAGTCCAGCCCAGGCCTCCGCCACCGCCCTAGGTGGCAACCAAACTTCCTCAAGAGGTACACAACGATACGAACCTCCTACGTCTGTTTTCCTACGACAGCCTCAGCTTTGTCTAAATAGGTTGACACCTTTGAGTTCTTAAAATGGCGCCCGTCACCCCCACCTCCAGGGAAATTAATCCCAAGTTCCAGCTTGCCATGAAATGCGGACGAAGAAAAGAACACACGTACCGGAGGAGTGACGGCGGGTTCAAGCTCCTGCGAGCTCGCCAACAGGGCTTTCCTAGCAGCTCAGCACAAGACAGACCTGCCGGAACAGACGAGAGAAGAGGAAAGCCGCTAGCACTACTGCGCAACGAGGGCGAACAAAGGAGACAGCAAACTTTATACTGCCCGGGAACGAGGCTGAAGGCCCGGATGGAAACGGAGCTTACAATTTGAAACACAAAGGGAGGGGGAGCGGTTCCCAGTCTCCCCATTGGCTGACTCCTCTGTCCTTCACTCTTCGCCCCACCTCTTTTCCTGGGCCCGTTTTTAACAGTTTGCCCAGCCCCCTTACCCGTGCTCCACAAACCCGCGTTTTTGATTTTCGCTAAAATGGTTCACACGTTTAATACAGAACTCAAATCTATGCATGTGCGACAGGGACCGTGGGTGTAGTCACAGGGTGAGGGCCTCCTGATGAAACAAGGCAAGGATATTCGCAGTCAGAGCAATGTTAACTACATGCAACGAAACCCCCTATTAAAACTCTGTGTGAAACATTCAGCTCTAGAGCCATTCTTCAGTGAGATCAGTTGGTGTATCCCAGAAAAAGAAGAGTAGCACATGTTTACTTTATGCTAATTATTTATAATCATGTGTACGATTCACTTTAACATGCTAAAAGGCCCAGGCCTATGTGCTGTCTTTCCTGATGAAGTGATTTTGCAAACTGGGCAAACTAATTTAGCCTGCAGGCCCAGCCATAACACAGTAAAAGGCAAGAAGGATTCTACCTTAAAGATAAGATTGCACTTAACTTACTCTTTAGCAAACAATGCCTCAGCCCACCTTGGGGGCTGAGCAGGTGGCCTTGTTTCATATGCCCCCAGACCAAGATGCTGGTATCTCAGGGAGAAATCAAAAGAGCAGGAGGTTACTTGTAAAAAGTTAATTGTAAACATCCTAGGACCAATTAATAAGTCCACATCCCTAAGCTTTTTTTCATGTTCTCCGCCTCTGCCTATAAAACCCCCTAGACAACGCACCGCCCTGGACTCTTGTCCCCTGGAGGCATGAGCTGGGAGCTCTGTCCTTTCACTTTATCTCTAAGTAAAAGCCTGTACCTTGCCTTCCTACCTTGAGTGTTTGTGAAACTCATTCTTCGGCTTCGTGAACAAGAACCCCGGCATCATCTTTGGGGGCTCGCCTGGGATAACTTCGGAGGTGAGTATCAGCATCCAAGCCTGCCTTTTCTTTCACTGCCCTTATAGAAGGAAGCCGTCTATGGCTCACAACATGGGGTGCTCGTCAGCCACTTAAATGGGACTAGCCTGGCTGTCAATCTCAAAGTCTCAAGCGCCAGGTTCCCCTGTGTCTCCCTCAGTGGATCCCCCATCTCCCTTGGGAGCTGGGAAAGTCAGCTGAATGGAGGCCAGGATTCCCTTTCCGAGGCATCTCCTTGGATGGAAGGGACTGAGGAAGTCCGTGGGCACCTGCGAGAGTCTAGGCTGAGGCTACACTTCAGCGGCTTCTCACAGGTCCGCGTGTCTGGAATCAGACCGCGACAGCCCAACTGGGTATCCGTGAGGAGTGTCTCTGACTCCTGTCTCTCTGTCTCTGACTTCCAGCCTGCTTCTTCAGGCCACCCTGTTAGGGGCCGTTCCTAACTCTCTCCTAAGTTCACCAATTTCACGGAACCTGATGCTGACCACCGCAAGGTAGGAGACCTATGCTTTGCTCTTATTCCTAACTGCATGTTGTACGTTTTATCTCATAAAAATGTGTCTGGGCACCCGTTAGCCACTTAAAAGACGATTAGCGTCGGCTACCAGTCTTAAGTCTTGGGTGAAAGGTTTCCCGGTGTCTGCCGCTCCTGGATCCCCCACCTCTGGACGGATGGGAATGTCGGGGAGAGGCTGAGCCGATTTCCTACTTTCCTATCCTAATCTGCGGACTCCAAGGGCAGACCAGACTAGTAGACCATGGTCCTGGATCTCAGCTCCAGCCAATTGATCCATGGCGCTGAGTGAACCTCCGGCTAGGCTGCTGCCTCTGCGAGAGTCTCAGATAGCCCCCTGACCTCTTGTTTCACAGATCAGATTTGTTATAGTGGGTGACTGGCTAAATCCCAGACAGTGGCAGAAACTGGTGTTTGAGTATATGCACCCCCCTCCATAACTGTACATGTAAATGGCCCTGTTTAAATTCTAGCCATGGCTCTATTCTATTGATCTCTCTTCCTTGGAGGCAGTCTTCCTGGGGCTATGGCATTTCCTTATCTGCAGCCCAAGTGGACTATGCTAAAGCCTGTGCAAAGAAACTAGGGTCTGGATCAGGACTCCCAGAAGGCGTAAAGTAAGAGCATACTGGTGAGGTCCCCACTAGATCCAGAGCTCTGAAGCAACTCTTGCTTAGTGTGGGAAGGCAAGAGGGAAATCCAGGCAAGGTACAGGCCATACTGGTAAGGAGTGGTTAATTCCAGTAGGCCTGGCAGAGGAGGTGATTGACCACTGTCACCCAGGCTCCAAGGCGAAGGGACGCCCTCACAGAGAGGCTGATCAGGTGCTGAACACCCATCTTTCCCTCTCTCTCTTTCAGATGGGAGCATTGTCTTCAAGTCTAAAGCCATACACACCTGTGGCTTGTATTCTAAAGAAGTGGGAGCAATTTTGATCCCCAGACCCTGAATAAGAAGTGTCTTATCTTCTGCACAAAAGCCTAGACTCAATAGAAACTCTCTAATGGAGAGGCTTGGTCCCTGAGAGAAGTATACAACATAATAAGGTTATACACCTAAATTTATTTTAATGCAAAGAAGGGAAATAGTCAAAAGTCCAGAGGACTACTGTGAGACTAGTTTTCTAAATTCTTTTGGTGAAAATCTATTCTACTTATTGGGTTCATTATCTTCAAAAACTGGGAGGTTTTTAAACTAGACTCCCTGAAACAGAAGAAATGTATCTTCTGAAATACAGCCTGGCTTTAAATGACTGGAGCTAGAATTGTACTTGCATTTCATTTCCAGCCCCCTCAACACACACAGTCCCTATCAGTTCAGAGCCTTCATCGGCCCTGCTAGTCTGGGGCCATCTAAACCTTAACCCAGTTATATAAACTGCTCGCCCATAGAGTGTATTCTTGAAAACTGAGATACTTTTAGTCAAATAAGCTAAAAGGAAAGGCAATTGTATATCAGTAACTCAAATCTCTGTATCAGTTTATCTATGTATATGTTCTTTTATGAAAAGTATTGCTAACTGTAGTCATTATGTTTCAATCTGTACGTTTGTGTGTCTAAGAGCGTGTAAATGAAAGTTTTTTCTACCTTTGGATGGTATTAATAAAATTGATTTAAAGACAAGTGCTTGTGAAAATTGGGCACTCTAAAACTTCCAGAAAATCCTAATAAAAGATATTAAGCATTAATGCTAATTTAAGTTGGACTGAAATGGACATGTTCTTATGATTATCAGCTACCTAAGTTTACCTAAAGTCATTTAAGTTGATGTTATCTGCTAAATATTTCAAGAATAAAATGCTTAGAGGCTTGACTTTGTATAATATTCAGTAACGGTTTTGTAAGTAGTCTAGCATAGTTGTTAAGAATGAGTAAACTAAATGTAGCAAGTGAACTTCTTAATAATAATTGTAAGTGTTACAGTGTGTATACCGACCTACAGCCTGAGAATCTTTGTGGTAACCGAAAACCTTAAAGTTTTGCTAAGTTAAGAAGATACCCTTTGTGTTTAGTGAGAAATTGTGTTGTAAAGCTCATGGTTACAGAAATTATAAAATGTTCATAGATCTGTCAATCCAAAGAATGCTAGTGTAACAGTTTATAATAGCCTGCTTCTCAGTGTTTACTAAAAATTAAGGTACCTAATGGTTTTAAGTTCTAATTAAAACTACTTAAAGTAATAAGGAAAACATTTCTGCATGCTAAAGAATGTGTCTTTTGATAAAAGAAAGTAACTTTGTTCTAAAGTACAGCTGTTTATTTAGAGGGAGAACTCTAAATGTAAAAAAGAAGGATGTAGAAAGTTTGTGGAAGAATTTAATATGGTCATGTCATAAAATTAAAGCAAATGAGTCTCCATCTCAAGTACACAGCAAAATTAGAATTTTGTTTTCAGTTAAAAAGACAAAGTTTTCTTAACTGTTAGTCGGCTTTTAATGTTGAAAGATTGCAAAAGTTTCTCTAATTGTTTTATCAAAGCGGTTTCTCATTCTTAAAGTCTCAATGAGTTGTCGGAGTATTTAAGAAAATGAGATCTTAATATTAAAAGGACTAAAAGCTAAACTTTGCTAACAACTGTAACCTCTGTATTTGCCTTTGAGGGATTTTGTCGTCATTCTGGTTAAATGGATAAGTATTGCTTCATGGCAACCTGTAATCCTATTTAAGCAAGTGCCAAAGAAACTTTCTTCTGATAACTTCCCAAAATCAAATTCAAAATGGTGCTTTTACCTCTAGTTCACTCTGATATGTTCCAGAGGGCCCTGGAACATGTCAGAGGAATTTTTTCTCATTAGGGCAAGTATTTGGCTAATTTGGCTTATTTATCTGATATGTATAATTACTTGCTAAATTACCTGGAAAGCACTGTCAAAGGAAATGATGCTAAACTTTGTTACCAAATGTTTTTGGTTACAGAAATATCAGAATTTCCTTATGTCAGCTGTCTTACAATAAGCTCTCATCAGATCTTTAACCATTGTCATTTGTAAGTCTTTTGTCATCTACAGTCACTGTTTTATTACTCCTAAACTAGTAAAGAACTAGATTTCAGCAGAATAGGTATTGGTTACATAGGATTAAGTAAACTAAGGAAGATGATTTTGTGGCTTTTTGTTTCAAATGTTGCTGATAAAGTGTTTTAAGCTTTTTCTGTTAAGCTGACAACAGTTTAGTAAATGACTATCTTTATAAGCAGAATTGAAACCTTTATCTTTCTCTCTACCTGATCTCTCCAGAATTTAAAAACTCTCAGTGACTATTTTTATATTTCATGGCAGTATGTTTATTTGCATAAGTTCAATAAGAACCTGCTTTCCTTGTAAGAGGAGCAATTAAAAACACAGGTTATACTACCAAGGCTTTGACTGGAATGTCATACCTGAGAGACACGTGTGTAAACTCAGATATGAACAGACAGCTTTAAGGAACTAAGGTTGACTATATAAAGCCAACAAAGCCCCTTGGAAGAACTGGCCTGGTACCTTGCGTAGAGGGTTCCCAGCAGCCTTACCAGGTGAGTAAGGAAGGTCACTTCCTGGCAGGGGCAGGAACCTCAGGATGTTTTGGAGACCTCAAGAAAAGAGGAATTCATCAAAGTTACAGGTACTGCAGGCAAATCCTGATGGCAACTCTGGCTTGGCTGTCTGGCCTCAAGAGGCCTTTAAAAGTTCAATCTGAAATTCCTTGTAAAAAGCTCCAGCAAAGCATATTTAAAAGAGCCTATGTAATCAATTGCTCTTCTTGCTGCACTTATGCAAATAATAAAGCCAAGTGGTAACTATTTTCTTAACCTGGTTACTTCTAATAAAAATGAGGGTAATTTTAGAGAAAAGTATTGTTTCAATAATGCAGCCTTATCCATACTAAATCCTAATACTAGTCATTGGGACATAAACTAGATCCAGAATTCTAGCTTCTTTAAAATATCTAGCTATGATTTTCCAGATGTTTTAGTTTTCTCCTATCATTTCAATTAAAGTTTTACTATTTGTAGTTCTCATATTCAACCATGTATTCTTAATCTCATTAAGTTTGTCCTTCGAGAATGGAAAATCCAACTCCAGATGTTGCTACTTAACCTAATAACACAATTTGTTCTATCTTGCCTAGAAGCCACAAAACTGCAAATAGTAATAGAAATGGAACCAGGAATAGAAGTGCCCATCTTCCAAGGCCCTCTCGAATGACTGCTGATGGAGACCTAACTGCACCCTTTACTGCACCCCTTGTCAGCATGAAGCAGCCAGAGCGATCGTCACCCCCTTTTCCCTAGTAGCAGCCAGGGTCTCCATCTGTAAAGGGGGGAATGAGACAGGGACCGTGGGTGAAGTCAGAGTAGGGTGAGGGCCTCGGGGAAAAGCAGGGTGGAATATTTAGTCAGCAATGTAACAATGGGCAAAGAAGTCCCTACTGAAACTCTGTGCTAAGCATTATGCAAAGTCAAGGTCACACTAATTCTCCAGGGTAAAGATATAGACATCTTCAGTGAGATCAGTTAAAGGTCAAAAAGCCAGGAGCAACTTGGCCTGGAATGTTTGAGTGTTCTGCAAAGGTATCAGCATAACCCGTGACTCCGCTGTCAGCCCTAGCAATCAGACTATGACCCAGCCCACCTTGAGGACAGGGCAGGTGGTACAAGTCCACACCCCTCAGCCTTTCTTTTTGATGTTCTCGAAAAATCCTCAACTGCCTATAAAACCCCCGACAATGCACCACTAGGGGCTCTCTTGTCCCCTCCTGGCGTGAGACAGGAGCTCTATTCTCTCACTTTATTTCTGAACAAAAGCCTCTGCCCCCTCTCCTACCTCCAGTGTTTGTGAAGCTCATTCTTCGGCTTCATGAACAAGAACCCCGGCATCACTAACACACCAGGATAGAGAGGACAGTGACTTGAATTTGGATTGTGGCAGTGGCCATGGGGAGGAAGGAACAGTAGCTAGGTGTGTATGGTAGGTAGCATGGACAGGATTTGCTGATGAATCAGATGGGAAAGGACTGGAGAGGAATTGGAACAGGGGAGACCATTATGGATGCCTCGTAAGTATCTGGTGTTAGTAGGTGATAGCCATTTACCAAAATGGTGCAGAGGAGTGAGTTTAGGATGGGGGAGGAGGGTTGTGAAGAAATCTGATGCTCAGAGCAGAGATCTGGGCTAAGTTGTTACTTTAGAAATGGTAATAAAAGACAATGAATAAGACGAACAATAGCTATGAAAGAATGAGGGCCCTACATAAAAATAATAGAATAGTGAACTTTAGATAGTCATCTGTAAAGAAACCAAGAGTCTGGCACCTACCTAGCCTTTGTAAGATTTTCTGGCCACAATAACTAAAAACCAAGCTTACTTAGAAACAAGTTAACTGCTAAGACCTGCCAAATGATGTAATCTCATTCTCTAAACTCATGTAACTGTGCTATGTGTCAATTATATGATTAATATCTGTACTTTACTTTATGTAATCAAAGAGTATATAATCAAGCTGCTACTTTTCATTAAAGGCCAGGCTCAGCTTTTGCTAGTGTCTGTGTCCTCATTCATTCGGTCGCTGACGCTGTTCATCCTTTAGGGACTCTTGGACTCATTGGAGCTGGCCTCTGGCAATGTGGTAGCTAGAAGAGAATGAAAGACTGAGAAAGGCAGGTATTTGAGAAAGGGCTTAAGCATGTTTGAATGTGCCCGAGAAAGTTCCAGTTAAGGAATGGTTGAATATATGTGAGAAAGAAAGGATAACAAATGACATAAAATTCTCCAGAAAGCAGGGGAGGACATCATCCATGGCACAGGTATGATTGGCCTTACATTATTCTTCTAATGCATTTGTTCTCTAATGTGACTGTGCAGCAGAATTCCATGGAAAGCTCGCTAAGTCACAGATGACTGCTCCTTCCTCCACCAGTTTGTGATTCTGTAGGCCTGGAGGCAGGGTCTGCAGATTTACATTTTTAGCAATTTTCCAGGTTCTGTTGCTGTTCCGGTGAGCTAACTACACTTTAGGAACCACTATCTTATGCAGCAGGAGGAAAGGAAGATAGGATGGGTACAGAATGGGTAGGTATATGTTTGGTAACCAGAAGATGCAGAAATTCCTATTTATTGGCTTCTATTTTCTCTATGAAATAGGAATTGGGGTCAAATATTGAAAGTGTAGAGTGGGAGAGGGTGGTGCTGAGGTAGGAGGTTAAAGAAGAGTGGAGAAGGTTTTAAAAAACGATGTCACCATGGTCAACATTTCCTAATGTATATAATTGTGAAATCACAATGTTGTATTCCTGAAACCAATTTACTATTGTATAGCAACAAACTTCAATAAAAAATAAAAAATAATTGCAGAGGATAGGAGAATGAATTGACCAAAGCCATGCAGTGAAATCATTGAGCAATACTGAAGTCTTATTTGAGGTCCTCTGAGATCATGAATTTTATAATAGACTCAATCTGCCCCACTGTGTAACTTTTTCCAGTAGCCATGGAGAAAGTAAATTATTGATTTCACCCAAGACTGAGGTTTTGCCACCTGAGTGTCTCAAAAAGACATCTCATGAGAGATTAAAAATGGTGGCATGAGAGGTGAGACAGAGGCTTCCTCCTAAAACCGCATACAATTCGAAAATATAGTTGGTGCAATGAATCCCGAGAGAGCAACAGGAAAGAGGGCTGCGCCAGACTGCATACACCTGGAAAAAGGAGCAGACCTCATGGAACAGGGTAATGTACCAAAGCTGTGGCCCGGCAGGACCTGAGCCCTTCCCCCACCCCAGCTCATGGGGGTGAGGAAGAGAAACGAAGCGGGGAGGGAGGGGATGCCTGGGGTGCTGAATACGTAACACCGGAGATATGCTCTGGGAGCACAAGCCTACATTTCATAGTGCTTTCATGGTACTCTCATGATTAGGGGACTGGAAAGCTAAGACAGGCAGAATACCTGGAGATACTGAGATTCCAGCCACTTGTGGAAAGCAGGGATCCATATCTGGGTGCTCTGGGACAAAAGACAGGCAGGCAGTCTGAGAGACTTCCTAACAGCATGAGGGCTGCTAAAGGGGCAAGGATTGCACAAAGCTTACTGCTAAGGAGAAAGGCAGGCAGACAAAATTGTCCAGGTGCACTCTGTCCAGCAGGATGGGAACTTTCTCAATCTTCAGGCCCTCTAGCTCCCTGGCTAGTTACACAACTCGAAGGACTTCTTCTGTGATACACAGCCCAGTGAGCCTTTCTCCCAGCCTGCCCCACCTGGCTCGCAAAACGGCAAACGCTACCCAGGCATTAGGCCAGCCAGACAGAAGTCCTGTCTACAGTAGCTACAGATGCAAAGCATAGAGGCTTATACCTGTGTGCTCAGTCCACTGGTTCTGGCAGTGGAGCCAGGCATAGCAGCCGGGAAGCAGGAAACAGCTCTTTCCTACCCCAAGGCACCAATACCGCTCCCCAGTGACCCCCAACATTGCTTCATGGACTGAGCAGCTCCAGAGAATAGAGCTTCTGGGCACAAGAGGGTGCCATATACAAATATGAAATGCCAAAGGAACCTGGTTCAAAGTAAAATTATGAATACAACTACTGAGAAAGATTTAAATGACATCGACCTCATGAATCTTTCTGAAAGGGATTTCAAAATAAAAATCATTAACATGCTCATGGAGGTACAGAAAAATATTCAAGAACTCAGGAATGAATTCCAGTTGGAGATCCTATCATTGAAGAGCACAACAGAGGATATTAAAAGCAGATTCAATACAGTGCAGATGATAAATGAAACAGAAATTAGAGAAGAGGAATATAAAGAAGCTCAGGCACAGAGAGAAAAAAGGATCTCAAAGAAGGAAAGAATATTGAGATAAGTGTGTGACCAATCCAAATGGAACAATATTCACATTATAGGGATACCAGAAGAAGAAGAGAAAGAGAAATGAATAGAAAGTGTCTTTGAGGAGGTAATTGCTGAAAACTTCCCCAATCTGGGAAAGGAGATAGTCTCCCAGGCCATGGAGGGGAACAGATCTCCCAACACAAGGGACCCAAGGAAGACAACACCAAGACATATGGTAATTAAAATGGCAAAGATCAAGGATAAGGACAGACTATTAAAAGCAGCCAGAGAGAGAAATAAGATCACATACAAAGGAAAGCCCATCAGGCTAACATCAGACTTCTCAGCAGAAACCTTACAGGCCAGAAGGGAGTGGCATGATGTATTTAATTCAATGGAGCAGAAGGGCCTCTAGCCAAGAATATTTTATCCAGCAAGATTATCATTTAAATTTGAAGAAGGGATTAAACGATTTCCAGATAAGCAAAAGCTGAGAGAATTTACCTCCCCCAAACCATCTCTACAGTGTATTTTGGAGGGACTGCTATCGATGGAACTGTTCCTAAGGTTGAATAGCTGTCACCAGAGGTAATAAAACCACAGTAAAGAAAGCAGAACACATAATTACTAAGCAAATTCAAAATTAAATCAACTATCCCCAAAGTCAATCGAGGCATAGACAAAGAATACAGAATATGATACCTAATATATAAAGAATGGAGGAGGAAGAAAAAGGAGAAAAAAAGAACCTTTACATTGTGTTTGTAATAGCATATTAAGTGAGTTTAGTTAGACTCTTAGATAGTAAGGAACTTAACCTTGAATGTTTGGTAACCATGAATCTAAAGACTGCAATGGCAAGTACATACCTATTGATAATCACCCTAAATGTAAATGGACTGAATGCACCAATCAAAAGATACAGAGTCACCAAATGGATAAAAAAACAAGACCCATCTATATGCTGCCTACAAGAGACTCACTTTAAACCCAAAGACATACACAGACTAAAAGTGAAGGGATGGAAAAAGCTATTTCATGCAACTAATAGGGAGAAAAAACCAGGAGTTGCAGTACTTGTATCAGACAAAATAGACTTCAAAACAAAGAAAGTCACAAGAAGCAAAGAAGGACATCACAAAATAATTAAGGGGTCAATCCAACAGGAAGATATAACCATTTTAAATGTCTATGTGCCCAACACAGGAGCACCTACATATGTGAAACAAATACTAACAGAATTAAAAGGGGAAATACAATGCAATGCATTCATTCTAGGAGACTTCAACACTTCACTCACTCTGAAGGACAAATCAACCAGACAGAAAATAAATTAGGAGACAGATGCACTGAA